GAAGCAATGAGTTCTGTATAACGTTTCATGTAACAACAAACTTCCACTATGCTCAAAACATCACCAACTATTATTTATACTTTAGAAAAAAAAAACGTTGCGTATATTTATATTTATTAAAAAAATTCCAGGTTGTAGATCACTGTATAGATCAATTATTACGTGAAAATAAAATTTTGGCCGAGTTAGGTCAAAACCGACTTATCGCATGACCAACTTATGTTAGCTTAATATATATAGATCTACACTCGTACAACGTCAAAATTTTGTTATTTAAAAGCTTTTTTATCCCAAAAAAAAAAAAAAATAGCATAATAATGTCGTATTAAAAATTATTATGTTCATATTTTTTTTTTTTACTATATACTCTCTTCTCTCTTCTCTCTAGCTTATCAAGTATATTCATTCTTTTCTTCCCTCTTATTTTCTCCAAAAGAGGTGTTTTTATTTATTACAGTAAAATCAATCTCACCATGTAAATAATAAAACATATACACAATGTAATATGCTTTCGAACCAATTATCGTATTAATGAATTCGCCACAGGTAACCTTTTCTTTGGTTTCAATAATACTTCAAAAAATCATTATAATTAATTAACTTTTTGTTTACTTTTGTTAAAGATATCAAAACGCATTTACTATATATATATAGACGAAATAAACAAAAAATTATAAAACTCTATAATAATAAAACAACAGAAATCACCTTTAATTAACAATAGTCAACAATTACAACAATCAACCATTTTTTATTTTTTACTTTATTTTTTTTATTTATTTTATAAATCAGATATTGAGTATATTAACCTATATCACCATTAAAGGCCTGTCAATCACGAGATATTTATTTGGTGCTACTTTGGATATTTATTTTATTATTTTTTTGATTAGTATATTTTTTTATTTTCATATTTTAGATAATTGTTATTTATTGGTTAAATTAAATTGGTTCTAAAAAATCCATTCCTAGAAAGAAGAGAGGAGAAAGAGCGAATAGATCAACCATCAATTATTTTTTTTTTATAATTTATCATTATAAAAAAAGAATCCATTGATATCCACCTTAAAATATGTGAGGCGGACTCGTAATTAAGCCATTTCTTTTGTTTTTTTTTGTTAAGGATTATCAATGTTTATTATTTCATTCATATTCACATTCAATTAATAGATCAATCAAGTCTCTATTTTATTTATTAAATCACGTTTAATCTTTAATTTTATACTATTTGATTCCTTTTTCTTTTCTTTTCTTTTCTTTTCTTTTCTTTTCTTTATATATATATAGCGGTTTCATTTTTATTAGTAGTAGTCGCTTTTAAAAATATTGAAAAGAGGAAATCAATTCTATTCACAAAAAATAACAACGACAACGAATAAAAAACAACGATTCAAATCATTACAACGATAATCAACAATCATAATAATGTTAATCCTCAGACAAATAAAAAAAAGTGGCAATTACTATTCAATCCGTCAGTTGACTTTGGCCAGTGTATAGGTTTATATACTCATAATATATCTTTTAAAAAAAACAATCCAGGAGAGATAATTATTATTTTTTTCTTGACTCCTTTATATATTTCATAGCAAATTTAACAAATCACAAAAAAAAAAACTAAAAAGATTATTTATATTTCAATAATTTAGTTTTTTTTTAGTATTAACAACGCTACTACTAATAATATCAGCCTTTTCTAACAACAAAAATCAATTTCTTCGATTCCTTTTAATAATTCATCGTAAATCTTTAAATCTTTTGTAAAAAAATCCTTCTATCAATTTACCTTTTTTTATTATACTATCTTTTATCTGATATTTATTATCTCACTTCCTTTTTTCGATTCGTATAATTCAATTTTATTTTTTTGTCCTTTTATTTAATATATATATATATATATATATATATATTTATTTATTTATTTAAACAAAAAAATATTTTGACAATATTAAAAAAGAAATGTATATACGTAGGCCAAATTATTCACAATAAATACCATTCCGTGAATTGGATGGTCGATGAGATTAATTCTTTGCATAATATAACAATACAATTAAATCTTTTCTATTCATTCAATTAAAATTTGACAAATTGCATATCTACTTGCTACTTTCAATATACTACTTTTTTAATAATTAATTTCCGCTTTTTACTCTTTGTTGAATTACTATGTAATTACAAACTATCAAAAAAACGGACAAGAGTTTTAAAAAAAGTAGTATATAAATATTATTATGAATCTAATATATTCAACCGGATTATAATTACATGGTTTTGCATGCCCTCAGCAAATTCAGAAACAAGTGAACTAGTAGTCGATAATGCACTTGTTGTTGATTCTACGTTTGAGCTTTGTGCAATAGTACTGTTGGCTTTGTTGCTGATGCTATACCAATAATCAATTTTTGACATTAATGAATGGCATCGAACTTTAATAATTTATCTCATTTCCTGGCATATGCTTTGAGCTATATACATATATATTAGTTTCTTGGAATAAATATATAATAATTACAAAGCTGATACTCTTTTTGTTGGCTTATTATTATTTGTGGTAGATGTGGATGTAGACATAAATGTAGATTTTGAAGATAGTAATTGGTTTTTTATTTGTTAAAGTGAAATTAACACTTCCAAATTTTTTATTATTAGATTCCAATAAATTCTCAATAAATTGATTTTCTTCAATTGTCATATGTGATTTATTATAATCATCTCTTTATTATTATCACCACCACAACAAAACCCAATATTATTATTACTGTCACTATTGTTATTAATATTTCTACTATAACCAAGATTAGTACCATCATTAATCAATAATTTTTTCTCTTTGTTAAAAGTGATATTAAACCTTTCGTTCTTATTTTCCCTCTTTTATTCTTGATTGCATAATGTCTTCGTATATCTCTTCAACAATTATTTTTTTATAAGGTTTTATTTTTTCATGAATCTCTGTAGGAGTGATTTTGATTTGATTGAATTTTACTAATGGTACAATACCAACAAGGATATTCCTCAACTCTTTGAAATATCTCGAAATTTAATTTTTGGCTTTTAAATTTTGGTGAATGTTCATCTTATTCCAAACTTTTGATTTGTCCTGTCTCTATTAATGACTATAATCCCAAACATTGTTTCTTTTAATCCAAATCCTTTTTTTCAATATAGATATAAGCATAGATTTTTCAATTGTTGCAATATCATCATCAGATATTAGCCATGGTTCTAGATTATCATAAATTAATGGACCATAATAATCTTGAAGCAAATTGAATGATTGATAACTTCATGAATGACTATTAAGTTTTGCTGAATCCATTCCCTTTTGTTTGCAATTCGAAATTTTGTAAAGCATCCAGGTTATCAACATCTATGGTTTCATTGCACATATAGCTTTGAAATAAAATAAAATAAATATAATTAATAAATAATTACTATATTAAAAATAAAACAGAAAGTATGATGACATTAAATATGATATGGCCAACATTTTTTATACCAAGTTATACAAATTTTCATTTCTTTATTATTATAATTAAAAAGTTGAGATGAATGTTGATGACAGAGAGATTATTCATGCTAGCTACCAAACGACATCACTTCAGGGATATCTGGTCATTCTTATTCCAATCTGTTGCAAGCACAGATGAGATTATATACAAAAAATATTTACAACCATACTACTTAAGATGTCCCTACAAGCAACATAGTAAAATTAAAGGTGTCCTAACTAATAATTAAAGGTTGGCCAGACCATTAATCATCAGAAAGGATCATGGAACAATTCACAGTAGCTTTTCCTCTTTAACTATGCAAAAATTCGTAATAAGGTAAAATGTGTTTATTTTATTAACCAAAGGTTGTTACAGGAAAGTTATTAATCAATCAATCAATTAAATACTTCTTGGAGTAATACAGATAATGTGATTTGTGTCTTAATTTAAATTTGCAAGTGCAACTGTAACACAAATATATTTTTTTTTATCCATACAGGCCGATTTGTTTGATCTGCAGATCAAAACGTTTAAATATCACGCGTGGTCGTTACACAGTTATTTTTATGAAAAAATAAACGTTGTTGAGCAAGGTTCAATTCAACTACAATAAATAATAATAATAAACGTTTTGCTACTATGACAATATAATTTCAATGACAATATATTGAGTGAAAACCAGAAACAGGTTTTTTTGGTTGTTGGATATTATAATTTGACTTTATGATTTAATTAATAAATAGCTTAACTTAATAAATAAATACTGTAGGTATGTCTCCATCAAAAATAATTTCACATTCAAACATAACAAAAATTATTCCAAATCCAGAAAGTCAACCTACATCATCTTCTTGTTCAGAAACTACACTACAATTAACATCAACATCATCAACATTAATGCCAACAGCATCATCATCATCACAATCATCAATATTAATCACACCACCATCACAACACTATAACAATTATACTTGTACTTTATGTGGAAAATCATTAAGGTCAAAAGCTACTCTAAAAAACCATGAAAACAAATTTCACAAATTTAATAAATTAGTTCCACGCTTTCCCATTTTATCATCACCTGATGATGTTGAGATTTTAAAACAATGCATTATAATTAATATACAAAATAAGTTAGGATTTAGTTGACATAGTGTAGGGTTTAAAAGATTTGTGTTAGAACCTTTTCCAGAAAACATTTTTGCAAACCTTTTTTCTTCACAAAATAATTTTTCTTATTCACCAGCAAAAAGATGTTATATTTGTATATTTAAAAATACTGATGGGAGAAATGATCTTAGTTCAATATTAAACAATGATGAATGGTGGAAAAAAATAAATATCACAACTGGAACAATTTCTTTTATTGTAATGGAAGAAGATGGAGTTGTGAAGCCAGAAATTAAATTTATTTGGAAAGAAAATTTTTTAAATAATATGAAGTGTGGGTTTTGTAAAGTAGAATTTAATGTAAATTCAAATTAAAAAAAATTAAAATTATTTTCATTTGTGATTATTTTTTCCTGAGCAAGAAAAATCAAATACCTCATATCAATGTACAATATCCATATGTGTTTGTCATTCTAGTTGCAACTAATTATTTTCACTTAAATCTATTTTAATATTCTTTTTCTTAAACAAAAGAGGAATGTTGTATTTTAAATAATATAGTTGTCTATTTTCAAAATTTAAGAGATCATAAACTACTGATTGTTCTTTTTTTTGGCCACCACCCATACAAGTTTTACCGTAAAATAATTTAACATGATGATGGTTCTTTTTTTCAACACTGGAAGATGAAAATAGAAGCAAGGATAATTCTTGCCTTTTCAAATCTCTAATGAACTGTGGTATATGCATGGAGAGCACATGCATATATGGTGAAACATCTTCTTTATGATAAATTTCTGAAAAGTTTTGAATCCATTGTTTTGTGTCATTTTGAAAATTATCTATTTCATGATCGCTTAAAAGAGACCTTCTTATTAACCTATATAATCTAATAAATTCCTTCCATAGATTTTCTATTTTTATTCCTTTTCCATCATTGTAAAATTTAGAAGCCTGAAAATTTTCTAAAAATGTTAACTTTTGAGTGCCATTTAAACCTGTCCATTTAAATTTTGAACTTTTTAGATCAAAAAATTCAAATTTAGAAATTCCAATTCTTTTGGCTTCTAAAATTATTTGATTAGAAATTTCTTTTTCAAATTTTTTTGGGTTACGATTAAGATCATAAAACAAAGATTCAAATAAAATATCACTTATCCTTAGCATTAAATGGAGCTCATCTGGTATCCAATTTTTATAATCAACAAGTGGTAATAGGCAATCGTAATTATAACCTTTTGAAAATAAATAAATGTAAATAATATAATATATACATCAGAAAAATGGGTTATGCATACCCTGCACAAATGTAGGTGATTCAAATATAATATATGTATGTATATGAACTTTATACATGCTGTTTGGCATATTTTATATGTAAATCACCTGCATTGGCATGGATATGCATAAATATAATATACAACACCATTTTCCTGATTTAGTTATTTTTTTCTACATATAAAATTTAAATAATTACTTTTAGTTTTTGAGTTATAATCATTACTCCACTGGAGCTCCATATTTGCTCTTTGTGATTTAGAACAATTGCAATAAAGACAAAAATGCTCAGCTGTAGAAGCCTTAATACCACGAACCAATTGCATGAATTTCCAATCTGCAGACATAAAAAATTCAACGTTCCAATAGGTATTTTCTGGATCAATATATCCATTTGTTTTCAAATTAGAAAGTTCTTCATTAAATAATGACCAGCAATATTCTAAAGAAGTTTTATTTTCCTTTCCAATATAAATACATATACTATAATTAATAATAATAAAAATTATATGTAATTAATATTAATAATTAATGGATTATAGATAAATAAATAAATAAAAATAAAAAATTTACCAATATTGATGGCTTGGTTTTAAGACATCTTCACTTTCATTTAGTAGACAGAATGTCAATATAACTTGGCTCTGAACTTTTCCAACCAAATGACCATCACCACTTAATTTGATTTTTAATGTATAATTAAATAAATTAAATGTTTTTGAAGATTTTAATAAAGGAATTATAATATTTAATATGTGTATAATTGAATGATAGGCTCCATCACTTGATTCAACATTTTCATCATTATCATTGATATTAAATATATTAATTGGAACTAAGTTATTGATGATGTTTTGGATTACTTGACGCCTATTCTATTTTATAATACCTTTCTAACTCTGGGTAATTTTTTGAAAGTGATCTATATGCATCCCTAGAAATCATTGCTTCATCACATGAACGCACAACAGCATCTTGCCTTAATATTAAGTTACCATCAGTAATGTTGGAATTCATAAAATCTATCTCATAATCTATATTATCAATTTCTAAAGTAATTTTTTTCAGATTAAAAGAAGTCATATTAGAATTTTGTAATACTTCTTTTGCATTATAATATATTTCCTTTCCAACTTTTTTAGCCTTTCATTTTTCTGTGATGTTGAACTTAAATCATTAAAGACTTTAACTTGGTTGAGTTGTTGTTGGAAAAGTTAGAGGATAAACTTGCATTAGCAGAAGAGTTGGTAGATGGATTAGGACTCATAGAAGATGGTAAGGAATGAAAAAAGTTTTTTTTTTTTTTTTGTTATATACCATAATTATAAATAAAGTTTGAAATATATTGTGCATAGCAAATATTACATAGATACTTGCCAACTTCTAACCTAATACCATTATCTTTACATTTGATCAAGGCATCTTCAGTTACCCTTCTCCACTTTGTTGATTGGGTATTATGACATAAATGACAAATTCTTTCTTGCTTTTTTGTTTTTCTCATTTTTAGAAGTCAATATAGTGTCCTAACTAAAAAAATATACTAATCTTCAAAATGGGATTATTCTTGACCAGTCTATTTTGAAATGGGATTACCAAAGTAGTGAGTAATATGAATATAGATGAACAAGTTTGCTTAGGTGCACAAGTGTGACTGTTATGTGAGTTATACGCATGTGTGCGGTGAAATATGGCGGTACGCAGTTTTTTATATAAAAAACATAGAAAATTGATCTACATTTAGATATCACAGGGCGTCAATCGAACAAATTGGCCCATATGTATAGTGCAGGACACCTAGTCCCTACAACTTTTATTAGTCTTGCAAATCCTTTAACTCCTCCGAAAATGGAAATG